TTTTTAATGCTTAAACGCGTTTAGTTATTAATTTATTCAAATATAGGTCAAAAGTCTTCCAAGAGAGACTACCTGAACTCGGTCTAAACGCAAAAAAGCCAACTAAACAGGCTAAAGCCTTTTTTGAGTAAGTATTAGTAATGAAGAAATATAATAATTTATTGATTTAACTTGTAATTTCTCAAAATATTAAGCATTTAAAACGATACCTAAACATGCCCCACCAAGATGCTGGGTTTGAGCTAGGGGAAATATTGCGTTATACTAATTCCAAAAAAGCAAAGGCATGTATCCTCGCGACTAAACGTTGGACTAAAGGCGAGATTATACGATATTGCAATGGAATTCTAGTCGAAGAGGAATCAAAGTTGGATGATGAAAAAGATTTTTCTATAATCGCTTCAGCAAGTAAAAAAAGAAGTTCTATTTATGTTGGACCTGGTCGCTTTGTCAATGTGAGATAGATCTATATCTTTTTTGATACTATGTAATTCCGTCATTAATTATTAACTGTATACATGTATAATTCTAGCATGATTGTGATCCGAATACCGAAGTAAGTCATTATTTGATATTTTTTGCTTTAGATTGGGAATTTTATTTTATAATAGTTTTATGTACAAGGATCTCAGCATATTGTCTCTTTTCAAGTCCTAAGGAAAATTGAAATAGGCGAAGAAATTACCTGTTTCTATGGAACAGATTATTTTGGCGATAACCTGTGAATGTTTATGTCTGACTTGCGAAAGGTGTTTATTTGTCTGATTTAAGCTGCATAATTTAAAATTATTTACTAATACGTTTTAAGTCTATAGGCGAAAGATGGGCGCTTTTGCGGAGAAAAAAGGCAAAGGCAAAAGAGGAGCCACAATCTCCGGAAATTGGTTTGCGTACAAGAAGATATCATAAAGGTAATGATAATTAACTTTCTTAAATTTTGTGTTATAAATAATATCATAAAAACTTACCAAAATATTACTATCTTGTTCTTTTTCTTTTAGTGCACTCTTCCCAAAATGCAAAGCAATCAAAGAATGTGGCATCAGATTCTGCTAGCTCGTCAAAGACCCCAAATAGTAAAGCAACATCCTCATTGAAAAGGACATCAAACTCTTCTCTGAGACTCCAAGCTCTTTTAACACAATCTCGGTCCGAAGAGCAAATGCAACGATGTAATAAGTCTGAAAAGACACCGAATTTTGATGTTAATAATACACTGCCAGCAAATTTTCATCATAATCGATCACCAACGGATTTCCTACCTTGCGAATGCAAATTCATCCAACTGGCTCTCAACATAACCTCAATCAAACTCAATCCAGTTCATTACATTCACTTGCTACGAATAACGTTCAGTCTAATCATGCCGTTAATCAAACTCAAAGGATGAGTTTTTCTTGGTCAGTTTCTCAAACAGTACGTCTTGGACAAGTTGTGACCACTGGTTGCACTTTTACTACTAGTTTTTGTGTGTCCACGACGCCTGGAAATGCGCAGCCAATAATTATCCCTCAATATACAGCAATGCAAGCCTCCAACATTCGCACAAATACATCAAATCATCGAAGTTCAATAAATATCAAAGATGAGATAGCCGGCTCTAAACCACTTAATGAAGAAAAAGGGTGGAGCCGGCTATAAAGGGGGAGGGTGATGTTTATGAGGAGAGTCCATTGAAGAGGAGAAGAGTGTAATGGCCGCCTCAGCAGTGAGCTCCTTTTTGCTGGAAATGCGACTGTGCGGCAGGCAGGTCGTTTCTCAGCAAAAAGGAGCTCCGATTCATCAGTAACCGAATCAAGAGATTAGGTTTCTGATGAATCTTTGTATCTTTGCGTGTGCACGTATAAGATATTGTTTGAATTAGGATTAAAACTACCAAAACTATAACCGAAATAGTTTAGGCACCTACCTCTAAATTAGGATGTCGTCAAGTTGTTATTTGTGTCTAACTGCTTTAGTAAAATAGATGAATTTTAATATTTGATTTTTATAATGATTGATAATGTAACTGATTATTGTTACCATAACAATTAAGTTACTACTATACAAACATATTCTTTTTCTAGTTTATTATTTACAACATGACAACATCAACCTTGCTCACTTCCATATCTCTGCAACATCAATTAAACATGTAATAGTTTAGATAAACATCTCTGGACTAATTCAAGTTCATCAAAGAAAATATTTTTTGTCCATTAAATCTAAGCAATTAAAGACACCGATTTTTTGCTGCAAATATATTTTAAACGTACATTTTAAAATGCATCAGAAGAAATCAATACATACTAATTTTGCCAGTAACAATGCATCTTTCATTAACTGTTGGAGTCTTTCTTTAATTGCGTGTTCTTTTATTTTTGGCATAGTAAAAAAGATATACAGCGTCAATTGATTTATGAACTGGATAACCAATCACCGTGGAAGTAAAGAATAGAATGAAAGAAATTCGTAATTTATTTTCCTGGAGCCTAAAATATCTGAATAAAAATCAAGAATCTAACTTGATGAGAATACCTCGACAAAATAGGACCAAACAATATTTTCCTTTGGCAATATCCCATGTCTTACTTCCTCGTCGTTTTTGAAAATAGACAACCTCTCTTTTACTAAAATTTTTCTAATTAATATTACCAATGGGATGTTAGATACCCGGGTGTTTTGCGTTACGAATTGCGGTAGTTCAAGATTCAACCTTGATTAATCATCTTATTTGAAAAGATATTAATAAAGATTTGATTTTTTAAAAATTATAAATTAACATTATATTTCTCTTGATTCTCATTATATATAATTATCTATATACTTTTTATTTATTAATAATTATACACTCCTAACTAATTGATCAATAAATAGCTTATATATTATTATTATTAAAATAGATAAAATTTTATAATATTTTTGTTAGAATACAAAAAGTAATGATATAAATATAATTTCAAGATATACTATTTTTAAAAAATGAATATTATTTGAACTATAATATTTGAATATAATTTTAATAATTGAATTCCATATAGATTAATTCTATTTGTCGAATTTGAGCGAAAAGCTTTAATATTTGTGTGTAAAATAAATTGATTACATAATTAATAAGTAATCATATACCATAGATTATTTTCATATTGGTGCTTGGTTCTAAATCTCATCTTTAATATTGTCTCTATAATGAGGACCAAAAATTCCTGAAATTAAACAGAATTTTTTAGTTTTCAATAAATTTACTACAGATAATGCACCACTTTGAAAACAATAAAAAGGCAGTGTACATTTAAGAAAATGTTCGGAAAGAAAAATATATAGAGCGCCGATAAGTTGCACCTATATAACCAATCGTTAAACGTTTAACGTTAGCTTAATACATGAAGAACAATGCGAATGTCACACACATTTATTCCAATTAATTTAATTTAGCTTAATTTGGCTTAGCCTATTAGATGAAAACCCCTATTTTGGCGTTTTCTGGCACGCTTATTAAATGGTGTCATATGATCCAATTCTCTCCAAAGATCAAATCCTATTCGTATTTAATATAAACTTTGATTTCGGCTCAATTTTCATAAATTAACAGCAACAAATCAACAATATTTGCCGACGGCGGTGGAATATTTACATTAAGTATGAAATTTTTATTTATAGTACCATCAATAACACACAAATGCAATATTTCAAGATTGCTCATGAACGCCTATCATTAATCTAATCTTTCCTTTTAATAACTCGCCTTCTAAGTAGTTAAATTCATAAATTAAACAAATTGGCGTCCAAAATTTTGTTTTTTCGATTTACATGTACATTCTGTAACTGCATATTACTATTGAAATCATCTTTAGCTATAGGTTAAAGGAGCCCAAAACCATTAAATCCGGTATCATTTGTCGCTAAAATTATGTAGTTCAGCCCAATCAGATTGCATGGCTATTTTGAGAATTTGTAATTGTGTGAAAAATCAGTGCTATAACGGCAATGATCGATATTAATAATTTTGTCATATCTAATGTTACTATTTTTGGCAAATAATGTTGACAAACTCCGATTTTTTTGCTCATCTTTTAAATATGTTTTGTCATATGCGGTCAACAATAATAACGGTTTTTTTATTCTCAAGATTATCGCAACGACAACATCAGCAGAAAAATGTAATAATTGTATTTTTGAAATTATAGATTTTATACTGTGTTTATTTTTCCCACTAACATAATAATTGCGCCAAATTCAGGGACCTGGCATCATTACGATTAAAGATTGCTTTGTAAAATTGTCTCCCAGACATTTTTAATTAGATTTAAATAAGCACACTTCCAAATTTTTATTTTATATTCAAAAATTTACGCATCCTTATTGGATGGAACCCCGCGCTCTAAAATTTCCAAATTTAGGTAATCGACTTTGCATTGTTTATTTGTTTATTTAAATGCTCGTGACAAAATCAAATCAGCGATCACAAAAAAAAGCCGAGGTTAGATTTGATTTGTCGTTATGTAAAATGCAAGTACGTTGTTAAATATCTATGATTAGATCATACAAACATTCTCTTTATATTAATTTACTTTATAGTATATTTATTTATATACAAAAAGTATTAGAAAATTATAAGGAATTAATTTTGGAAAGTGTCTTGGTATTTTGTCATGCACTAAATGTGATTGAGACAATTAATTGGACAAGACAATATCAAAGATGAGATTGAGAAATAAAAGCATCACAAGAAATAACTAACGATGTAAATTATTTTATAATATTAAGCATTTCGCAATAGTCTATAATTTATATTATTATATATAAATTTTGTTCTTTTTTCTTGATTATCAGTCGAGTTAGGCGTTTCGTGATTATTATCTATCTATTTCATCATAAGTAGCATATTTTAAAATTATTGACAGAAAATATATATAAAGAAGTTTACCAGAGAGTTTTGTACTAAATTTACAGAATAATTTTTCGATTGCTCAAAAAGTCTTTTAATTAACGTCTATATCTTTACAATACTTGACTCAAAGATGTCTCAACATAACCAACATGTCCAACAAAGAAATCCGCTACAACACCAACGGTATCAACCCACCCCAGAATATCTAAGCATGACACAGAGCTTTATAAATGGTGTAAATGACGTTCTTGATCAAGCAACTACGCAAAATCAAAATGATACTTTAAGTACCTTATTTGATGCCTATCAGTATAACAATCCCCAGATGCTCACTACATTACCAGGTGGATGACATCTACTGAATATACATTATTGGAAATTTTGATGGAATAAGATCGATGATATTTCTTTCCTATCATCCTTCTTTTATTGTAACTTTTTTGTAATACATTATTAACGTTATATAATTTTTCTATATACAGCTATAAGAACATTCCGTATTGCTTATAAGAACAATTTTCAACCAAACTTATATGTAAAATATATTAAATTTCTCTCTAAATAAGAACTTAATTATGTAAAATATATTAAATTTCTCTCTATATAAGAACTTAATTATGTAAAATATATTAATTTCTCTCTCTATAAGAACATAATTATAAATTTAATAAGATCAAGTTTTTTTTGTTCGTATAGAAAGGTGCAACTGTACATTGCTTTATTGTAATATGGACCAAGTTTTTCCATTCAAATTTTTGTGATTTTCTTTAATATAAAAACTGATATTATACGGACTTTACTAAATTGAAATTAATGAATTATAGCACTCACATAATATCATGCTTTCCCTAATAGAATCTCAAAATAAATATTAAACTTTGATTGACAAAACATCAAAATTAAACCCCATATACCAAAGTTCATATCAAAAATTCTTATTTAATTTTACAAATTTTTCAAAGATAAATTTTTAATTTGGATGTGTCAAATTCAAAAATTTGCATAATGATAAATGAGCTCAAATGACATCAAGTTCATTGTACACTAGGTCTTTTAGCTTTTGATCAATAGAATTTTAACGAGTCATTTTATTCATTTATTCATAACATAACTTACTCAGATCACTACCAAGCTTTTTAATGTCATTGGCTATATTTTATTCATTTTGAATATTTAAACAATAAATTTCATAAAATGCAAAAAAGTAAAAAAAAAATATGATTTAGTTTGCGTTTTTTATTTTACGATTTAGAAGAAAAAGTGTGATAAATAGTGTTATCAACAAATTAGACCAAGTATTTCGATGATACGCTAGTTCAGCTAGTTGCTTTAAATAATATGAATTTTCAATTTTTTTCTATTGCAAAGTATGATCGGATCAATGGCGTCATTATTATAGATCCATATTTATGTACATGAAATATGTATTGTTAGGTCGGAATTATTATTTGTATGTCATACTTCTCATTGGAAAATCCATAATGATAAGATGAAATAAACACACAATTATTCAGTGTCCATGTACATTTATATGTATTACGTAATGGTATTATAAATATCTTATATAATATATGCAGTTTGATGTGCTTGATACATGCATTTGCTAATGTATTTATAGAAATTATAGTATGCTGCATTCACAATTTTCCTATCATCATATAAATTGTTATTAACTGATATGCTACTTATCTTATTTTCTTACGTACCTTGGCAATCTAGAAAAGGCAGTTAGGTGGTATAGTACATACGTATTATTAAACTATTAAATTTATTGATATTTATGAATTGAATTATTCTAGCATCTTACCTTTATAAAACCTGTCATTGAGGTTGCGATAATATTTTCAAAACACAACTGAGGTGACTTTATACAATAATTATAATATGTATTGTCTATTGATTAGTAATGATATCTTTAACAACATATTACAAATAGTTATCTATCTTGACTGTGCAATTTTTGCGACATATTTTATTATCTCAATCTTTGAGAAATAGTAGGCGTTTCTTATACTTACAGTTGTTCTCAACAAACGATATTCTTTAACCTATATCTAATACTATAACATAAGCTAAATTTTTCTATCTGATATTATATATTAATTTAATAATTCAGACATTCTCATAGTGCTTCTAAATTGAAAAAATATGAATGATGATAAAACAAGCGAGAAAATGAGTCAACTTCTGTGATCATGTGTTCCGTTTGCGTGTTTAGTTTAGTACTATTACTGAAGTAACCATAACGATAAATCCTGTAATTCCTTAATTTCTTCCCAATATAGAAATCACGATTGTATTTGGAATATTACGATAATACTGACCATAATACCCCTCAACCTATAATACACCCCCCCCCAAATAAGATCCAAATACAAATCATAGACGTATTTTTTGAAAATTGTACAATATCTGGATACAAATTATAGGAATGTGATTTGTATTATTCTATTTAAAATTTCGACAATAATTGATTACTTTACCTGATACTTATATTTCAAAATATGATCCAGCTGATTAATTTATCATTATCATTTATGCTAATGCTAATTAATTACATATCAAAGACATTATTAATATGCTTTATACAAAAAAAAAGAAAAAAATGAGAATCTTTTTATCTACAATGATTCTCATTTTATTATTATGATTGTTATTATTTTTAATTCCATTCATTAATATAATTAATTTCTCACATTTTATAGTTATCATTTTCATTTTTAGAAATAAAAATAATTTCATTTTCATTAATATGATTAGCTTCATCTTTATGAATACAATTGGCTTCATGTATAGGATGTGCTTCATCTTTGCTAACTTTCACTAAATCAAAATTAATAAATTTGTTCATATTTTATCATCAAATTCATTTTCATTACTGATATTAGAATTATTAACATTTAGATTCTGAATGACATTTGTATTTGAACTTTCATTATAATTTCTGATATTATTAGAATTAGTATTGTTAAATTTGACTTGTATATATATATATAATTATATATATTTGTTTATTATCCAAGTTGATTATAAATCAAAATTTAGATAATTTTCTTTCCTATCTCGCAAATTAGAAATTCTATATATTTAAAAGCTTTTCAAATAAGAATAAAATCAATATTATTCTATATCTCAAATATTTATTACATAATTAAATTATATGCAGAATGCTAAATATAATCTATTTTAATATAAGTTTGAATATCATTTATTTTTTAATCATTATAATAATATTATTATAATAATATCATATCTATTGATATTATTAAGAATTTATTATTTTTATTATAAATATAAAATAAATAAATATATTTACTTTTGTATTGAATAATTTATTTATAGAAATATTTAGTAATTATAATTATAAAGATAAATCTTCTGATATTATAGTCAAGTTTATATTTTTTTCATAAAATTAATATTTTAATTAAATTTATAATATAAACTAAAATAAATCTAAAAATTAAAAAAAGTATAAATTTATTAATATTCTAATTATAAATTTTCTATTATTATATTATTTTATTTTTATTTATTTATTAAAAAAAATTGATTAATAAATATTTTTACAAAAATATTTATCTTAAAATATTCATTAATTTAAGATAATAATAATTAATAATTTAATTTTATATTTAAATTATTAATTATTATATAATTAAATAATAAAAAAGTTTTATTTATATTATCTATTAAAATAAGAAAATAATTAAATTAAAATTTTTATTATATATTTATAAATTATTAAAAAGTTTTTGAATTATAATTATCTATTAAAATAAGAAAATAATTAAATTAAAATTTTTATTATATATTTATAAATTATTAAAAAGTTTTTAAATTATAATTATTACTTAATTATAATAAGTTATAAAATTATTAATTATTTATTTGAAAATTTATTTATAATATAATTAATAATTCAAATTTGTATAAAAATATTATCTTAAAAATTTTATATATTACTTATTATTAAAATATATATTATTTCTTAATTTCTTTGTTTAATTATAAAGATTTTTTTAATTTAAAATATTTTAATAAGCTTTCTTAATTTATTATCTTTAAATATTATTATATTATATTTATTATTAAATTATAAGAAATTTTAATATTATATAAATATTTCTAATTATTTTTTTAAATTAATTTTTAATATAAAATTTAATTTAAAAAATAATCATAATTTTAAATACTTTTATATATATATAAATTTTTAAAATTTATTTTTATTAATATTTATTTAAATATAATATTAATAAATTATTTAAACTTGAAATCAAAATTAATTCTTGAATTAATTAAAAATATTATTTAAATTTTTATAATTAAATTATAAATAATTTTTTCAAAATAATTTAAATAAGTTATTCAATTAATTCAAGAATTAATCTTTCTTAAAACTTATAAAATTTTTCTAAATAAATTAGTTTTATAAAATTAATTGATTTAAATTAATATTTTTAATTAATAAAAAGTTTTATAATTATAAAAAAGATTTAATTATATATTTAATTTATTTATAAAATTTTATATTTAATTAAATAATTAATTTTTAATAAAATATAAAATAATTTAGTAATAAAAAATAATAATATAATATTTATAAAAAATCTATAATTATTATATATTTTAAAAGATATTTAAAAATATTTATATATAATCAAAATTTTCTATAATTACTATACTTAAATAGTAAAATTAAATAACTATAAAAAATATAATTATAAAGAAATTTTTAATTATAGTTAATTAATAACTGGAAAGCTCAAAAATAATAACTATAAAAAAAGATAATTATAAAAAAAATAACTGAAAAAATATAATTATAAAGAGATCTAATTATAATTATTATAATTTTTAATATAAAAACTAAAATAAAGTAAGAAATTAATAAAGAAAAAAAGAAAGATTAATATAAATTTATTTTATATTAAAAAATCAATTTTATTAATAAAATATAATAAAAATTAAAGCTTTCTTTTATATTAAAGTTTATAATTTTATTATAAAATAATTTTTATTATTAATTAAAATAAAATTTATTAGTTATAATTTAATATATTTTTTTAGCTTTTTTAATTTTTTTTAAAAGAATTATTCTAATTATAAAATTATATAATTTTTTTTCTAATTTAAAACAAAACTTAATAAAATATTACAAATAAATTATATATTAAATTATTTATTATTTAATTAATTTATATTAAAATTTTATTAAAAATTAACTTTTAAATATAATATATTATTAAATAAATAAAAAATAATATTTTAATATAATTTTAATAAAATATTATAAAATATTATATATAAAATTACTAATTTATTTTAAAATTTTATTAGAAATTAATTTTTAAATATAATATATTAAGATTTAATAATTATAATTATATTAAATATATTATTTAATTTATTAAACTAAATAAATCAAATAATAATATTCAATTATAATTTTAATATTATATATAAAAGTTATTATATATTAATAATTTATATCAAAATTTATTATATAATATTTTTTTATAATTAAAATTTATTAATATATATATTAATTTTTATTATTATATTTAAAAGTTATTATATAATAAATTATTTATTAATTTATATTAAAATTTATTATAAAAAATATAATATTTAACATATAATATATAATAATTAAATTATATTTAAGTATTATTGTTTGATTTATTTTAATTAAATAAATTAAATAATATATTAATTTATTTATAATAATTATATTAAAAGTGAATAAACTATATTTTATTTTATATTTTATTTAATATTTTAATTACTAAATTATTTAATTTCAATATTATTATTTGTTGGAATTTGTTAATTTGAAATAAATCTATTTTTGTAATTTGAAAAGATATTATTTAAACTTTTTTGGCTAAATTTTATAATTATTTTTGTTATTTGAATTAAAGTTAATATTTTATTTTTACTCTTTAAATTCTTTGCTTTTTAATATTATAATTCTGTATAAATTAATATAAAAGGTCTATAAAATTCTATGAGATTTAATTTGTATAAATTATTCAATCAAGCTTTTAATTCTTGTCATATTTATAATTTTTTAATTCAACCAATTTCTAAATTGGACATGACAGTAATATATTTTATTTCTGATTATTTAACATATATTTGCATGATTTACTCCATTATACTAATTAAAGTTAAAAAATCATTCTTCAGAAAGTTCTTGTTCAGGACTATTTACAAAATTCTTACATATATTTGTGAAAAAAATTGTAAATGTAAAAATTGATTTCAAATTTTAATTTGATTGGTTAAGTTAATATAAGAATGCTGTTGTGATTTAATTAGTGATGCCAACATTTCACATAATTTCTCCATCAGGTAATGTTGCCCAAGTGGGTTTCAGTTTTTTTTGTAATTTATGTGACCAATGATTCTTTCTTTGAATTCGAAATTAACATTTATTTCAAAATTTATAAGTGCTATTGAGATAAAATATTCATATTGGATACGAAACACTTAGTTCATAAAATAATATAAATTAGTAAATTAAGAAAAATAATAAAATGGCGTGACGTTGCATAACGATAGTCAGTCAAAAGATGATTTTACAAGCATTCGCGAACCTAACTCATAAAGATATAATAAAAAATCAAAAAAATCCAATAAGGTTAAAAACTCAAGGAATCAGTAAACCGGATGATGCCATCCACTTTGGTAGGGAGCCTTAGGGAATTGTCATATATGATAAGCTTCAAAATAAGGTAATCAAAGTATCATTTTGATTTTGCGTAGTTGCTTGATTAAGAATTACATTGACGCCATTTATAAAGCTCTGTACCATGTTTAAATACTACTGGTAAGGGTGGTGATATTATTGATTTCGTTGTTGTGTGGTGAATTTCCTTGTTGAATATGTTTGCTATATTGAGAATTATAAAAATAAGAGCATTAATTTTAAGACTTAGAGCAATCGAAAAATTATTCTTTAAATTAGTTTGGTTACACAACGCAAGTCTCATGATAGAACTCTATACATATTCTCTCTGCCAATAATTTGAAAATTTATTATTTATCACGAAATAATTTGTAATAAGCTCGCTCCATCAAAGAATGAATGATTCTAATTTACGAATTTGAGCAAATTTTTAATATTTCGTGTGTAAATTAATTCATTTAAATCTCAACTTTAATTATCTCTTTATTCAATGAGGATAAAAATTATTAGATTTCTTTAGTTTTTGCTTTTTTAATAAACTTACTACAGATAATGCACTCCTTGAGAATGTAATAAACGAGGCAGAGTGTGCATTTACGAAAAGGTGCACTTAACGGAAAGAAATACATAGACTCCTATAAGTTGGAAGCAAAGTACGTGAACTGAATCTATATACCCAATGGGCTGTTAACGTGAACAATGTAAATGTAACACATATTTATTACATTCTTTTAATTTAGCTTAATTTGGCTTAGCCTATTAGACGAAAAAATCCGATTTTGGTAAGCGGAGTAAAAATTGGCAACTATCGCCATCACCGTGGGCAAAAAATGTGCATGCAATGTACCACTAAAAATTACATAGCATCATATAGACGAATATGGTACATGTTACTTCATATTTGAATGAGAGATTTATTGTAAGAGCTGATATTTGAATACTATACAGTTAACACATAGTATTATATTGTTCTACTCATGAAGAATACGCATCTATAATGCTCTAATTTTCTGTAAAGATTAAATTCTATTCGTATTTAATATGAACTTTACTGGTTTCAGATTCTGCAGCAACAAAAATCAACACCACATTTGCCGCCGGCAGTGGAAAATTTGCAGTAAATATGGAAATTTTATTAATGGTGCTATCAATAACATTTCAAATTGATCATGAACATCTATCATTAATCTAACCTTTCTTTAATATCTCGCTTTCTAAATAAAATTCGTAAATTAATCAAATTGTCATCCAATTTTTTTTTATTTTCCCATTTTCATATGTATATTCAATGAATAATACAATGTATACATCAATAATTGAAATCATCATCTTTAGATATAGGTTAAGGGAACCCAAAACTATTAAATCCTTTGTCGCTAAAATTATATAATTCAGTCCCAATCAGATTGCATAGCTATTTTGAGAACTTGTAATTGTGAAAAATCAGTGCTGTAACGGTAACGATATCAAACATTAATGATTTTGTCATATTTAATGATACTGTTTTTGGCAATTTAAATCTCCGATTCTTTTATCATCTTTTTAAATATGTTTTGTCATATGCGTCAACAATAAGAATGATGCTTTTTAGTCTCAAGATTATCGTAACAACATCAGCAGAAAAATGTAATAATTGTATCTTTGAAAGCTATAGATTAAATAATTGCGCCAAATTCAGGAACCTGTTAAATCGCATTGTTTTAAGAGTTATGTTGTAAAATTATCGCCCAGACATTTTTAATTATGCTCTAAAATTGATTTAATAAACACGCTTTTCCGTAAATTTTTATTTTATATTCAAAAATTTACGCATTCATATTGGATGGAATTCTCCGCTTTTTAGATGCTTGCGACAAAATCAACACAAAAAAGCCAAGCTTTGCTTTGATTGTCGTCATGTAAAAATTATGCAATGCATTACACGTATCGTTATACCGTGTTTTGCTGATTAGATTATACAGACATACAGACCCTCCTCTATATTTAGGTTACTTTATAGTATATTCATTTATATATAAAAAGTATTTAAAAACTGTCTCGGAATTTTGTCATGTATTAAATTGAGACAATTAGTTGGACAAGATCAAAGATGAGATTGTTTCAACAAAAATTAATTAACTATGTGAATCATTTTACAATATTAAGCTTTTCGCACATAGTCAAATTAAGGAACTATTCTATAATTTATATTATTATATATAAATTTTGTTCTCTTTTCTTGATTATCAGTCGAGTTAGGCGTTTCGTGATTATTAATCTACTGTATCTATTTCATCATAAGTAGTATATTTCAAAATTATTGGCAGAAAACATATATATAAAGAAGTCTACCAGAGAGTTTATAGTTTAAAACAACTAAATTTACGGAATAATTTTTCGATTACTCATAAGTCTTTTATTTTTATAATACTTTGACTCAAGATGTCTCAACATAACCAGCGTATTCAACAAAGAAATCCACCACCCCCACTACAACAACCACGGGATCAACCCGCACCAATATATTTAAGCATGGCACAGAGCTTTATAGATGGCGTCAATAACATTTTTGATCAAACAACTACGCAAGATCAAAACGATACTTTAAGTACCTTATTTGAAGCCTATCAGTATAACACCCAGAGGCTCACTACATTACCAGGTGGATGACATCTTGGGATAAGTTCGATAATATTTCTTTCCCGATCTCTCTCTCTATAAGAACATAATTATGTAAAATATATTAAATTCTCTCTCTAGAAGAACATAATTATAAATTTTAATAAGAACAAGTTTTTTTGTCCATATAGAAAGTGCAACTGTATATTGCTTTATTGTATGTAATATGAACTAAGTGTTACTATTCAAATTTTTGTTATTCTCTTTAATAAAAACTGATATTATACGGACTTCATTTTCCGTAAACATTATACATGTACTAATTAAAATTGAAATTAATAAATTATAGCACACAAATAATATCATGCTTTGATCTATCTATTCCCCATATACAATTTACGCTGAATAATGGTTAATGATGATGTCATCCAAACTACATTTTCAAGAAAAATGCTGAATTCCAAATATCCCTAAAAGAATCTCAAAATAAATATTAAACTTTGGTATTTAAGGGTTTAGTTTGAAGTTTTGTCAATCAAAGTATATATCAAAAATTTTTATTTAATTTTACAAATTTTCAAAATAAATTTTAATTTGGATGTGTCAAATTCAAAAATTTGCATAATGGTAAATGAGCTCAAATGACATCAAGTTCATTGAACACTAAATAAATGTTTTAGCTTTTGACCAATAGAATTTTAACGAGTCATTTTATTCATTTATTAATAACAAAACTTACTTAGATCACTGCCAAGCCTTTTAAATGTCATTGGCTATATTTTATTCATTTTGAACATTCATTTCATAAATTCATAAAATGCAAAAAGTAAAAAAAAAGCACATGATTTAGTTCGTGTTTATTATTTTACGCTTTGGAAGAAAAATTGTGACGAATAGCATCATCAACAAAATTAGACCAAGTGTTTCGATGACATGCTAGTTCAACTAGTTGCTTTAAATAATATAAATTTTCAATTTTTTTTCTATTGCAAGTATGGTCGGGTCATTATTTGCGAACCCATGTTAATATGTATTGTCAGGTTGGAGAATCATTATTTGTATGCCATGCTACCCATCGGAAAAATCCATAATGATAAAATGAAACGCCCACACAATTATTCAGTATATATATATGTATTACGTAAATATCATATCTGGTATTATAAATGTCTTATATATGCTTATTGTGCTTAATTCTGGTACACGTATATGCGTTTCTTATACATGTAGAAATTATACTGCGTTCACAATTTCTCTATTTTCTCTATTGCCATGTAAGTTAATTTATTAATACATGCAAATTGATATGCTACTTATCGTATTGTTAAAATATTAAATTATTGAGAATATTATTAAATTATTGAGAATAGTTATTAAGAATTGAGTTATTCTAGCGTTTTACCCTTGTAAAACCTGTCATTGAGGTTGTGATAGGTACACAGCTGAGGTGACTTTATACAATAATTATAATCTTCCTTATGTCTTTTGATTAGTAATGATATCTTTAACAAATAATTATCTAACTTGACTATGCAATGTTTGGGACATATTTTATTATCTCAATCTCTGAGTAGTAGAAGTTTCTTATAGAAAATTATACTTACAGTATATCTGGATTTTGCTTGTTCTCAACAAATATCCTTAACCTGAATCTAGTATTACTATAATATAAGTTAAATTATATTCTCTACTTGATACTATTATTATTTTAATAATTCAGACATTATCATAGTGCTTCTGAATTTTTATACTAATGAAAGCATCTAATAAGAAGCTTACATTACTTTCTCAGTAAAAAAATTAGTTACTTTTCTTTATTATTTTGATTTATTTGAATATATTATAACAAACTTTATAATTCTGATAAGTCTTGTTCTCTTATAAATTCCAGATTTTATTATTCTATATACAATAAAAAGTAATTTATACTATTCTAAAATAATAGAATATAAAATTTTCTCAATCTCAATTTCACTATCTTTATTATTATTATAATCAGATAATTAAAGAATCTCTTTTATAATAGTTTCTTTATCTATAATAATCTCTTTTATTTTAATGATAATATTAAGATAAATATAATTGTAAGCTATTATTACTTATATACTATCAGTAGGAATATTAAAAATAAGTTATTTAATATTAGTTTCTGATTTTGTATTTTTATTATATTATATATCTGAATTCAGTCAATCCTATTTAATTAATAATACTATTTCAGTTTTTTACTAGTAATTGATAATTATCTGAAAGATTATATTTTTTATATTTTTATACTAAAATTAATTACTTCTTTAATATTAAGATGAGATATTTTATTTTTAGTGTTTATAGTATTCAAAATATTTTGAAGATATAATTTTTAATAATAAGCTTTAAACAAGTTAATTATTTTAGTATTATATAATTATAGATAAAATATAATATTAAATGATAAAAAATAAATTTTGATATGCTTTAATTTATTATTTATAATATAAAAAATAATATTATCAATCAAAATCAAGATCTTTCTCTAATTAAATTAGTTAGTAAAATCCAGTATAAAATTGATTAGAAATATCCAGTATAAAATTGATCTTCTTAAAAATATAATACAAAGCTAATCTGTAATACAGATAGCACAAAATAAAGATCTAAACTAAAAGAATCTAAAGAAAAGATAATCTAATCAAAATTATTATATACTCTCTTACTTAAAGTATAATATTCTTATTATATTCAAGTATGTAATTTTTCAAAGATATTAATCTTCTTCATGATATTTTTCAAATTATCAAGAGATTTTCAAGTTATATTATAGAGAAAATAATCAAGTTATTTAACAAGATATTGAAATTTGTAATAATAAATTTTTTTGTCAAGAATATTTTCAATTTCATATTTTTTATTATTTAATATAATGATTACTGGTGGTAATTGATATCTATTAAATTCATTATTAGAGTTATACTTCTTTAATAATAAAATATAAAATACTGGATATAATTTCATATTATATAGTAATTACAGTTTATAAGTGACAGAAGAGATTTTTATAATGATTTCAAAGGGATCTATAAACTTTGATATAAGTTTCTTGATTATTCTTTATTTATCAGCTAGAGATTTTATATTATAAATAGAGAAAAAACTTTATTTTTAATGTTAAATTCTTCAAATCTTTTATGTTAATTTGCATATTTTGATTATCTTTCTTGAGCTTCTATTAGTAAATCTTTAACAGTCTTCATCATAATATTCCAATACTTCATGAAATCTTGTAAGACTGCAAAATTATTTTGAGAGAACAAGATATTAATTGATATATAAGATATCTATTCATAATTTAATTCAAAAGATATATAATCTATTAAAGTATTTTTATTATTATTATAGATAAATTTTGCAGTTACTAAATTTTTATCTCATCTATTCTGTTGATAGGTAATATATATTCTCAACATCTTTTTTAATATTCTATTAAGTCTTTCTATTTGGCTATCTGTCTGAAAATAAAAAATTATAGATATAGTAAATTTTATATCTAATTATTTAAAAGAGACTTTCAAAAGTAACTTATAAATTTAGCATCTTTATTTAATATAATAATTATGAGTAGACTATATAATTTAAAAATATTTTCAAAAAATATTTTTTCAATATCAGATACAGCTACTATTATTATAATTAATATAAAATATGCTCTTTTGATAACTTATCTATAAATACTATTATTATGTTATATTTAGACTTGATGATTAGAAGTTGAACTATAAAATTTATAGTAATATATTTCTATTTATATTCTGAAATGGCTAAAGACTAGAATAATTCTGAGAATTATTGATTATTCTTTTTATTGTATTGATATGATTCATAACTAGTAATATATTTATAAATACTTTTATTCATCTTTGACTAATAAAATTATTAAGAAATTACTACATAAGTTTTATCTATTCCAATATGCACTGTAATTGGTATAACATGAAATTCAAATAAAATTTTTGCTTTTAAAGTTTTATTATCTGAAATGGCTAGACAACTTGTATTTTTCAAATATAATAATTTTTTTTTCATTTCAAAATTTTTGACTTTAGTTTATTACTTAAATATTATATTATTAAAGTTCTTTAAAACTTCATAAATTTCTGCAAAATATTTATCTTCTTGATATTTCTTTATTAAGTCTTCTTTATCAACAAGATTATTAATAATAACTAAGATATTTACTTGATATAATTAATATAAGAATGTATTTATTACTATATTATCTTTATTAAGTTTATACTTAATTTCAAAGTTATTAATCTATAATATTTCTAACTAATAAGCTTGTCTTTTTGAAAGATTATATTGTGTTTTAATATATTTTAAAAAGACATGATTTGTAATTATTATGAATTTTTATTCTTCTAAATATGACTTTTAAAGCTTAATAATATGAATAATTATAAGTAACTCTTTTTCATGAATCAGATAGTTTTGTTTTGCAGGTAAAAGTTTTCTTGATTCAAATGTAATTGATTAATCATTCTTGTCTTGATTTTGACTTAATATAGCTCTTATAATAAAATTAAAAGCATCTATAGTTATTATAAATAGTAATTTAGGATCTGATAATAATAAGATTGATATAGTTATAAAATATTACTTTAGTTATTCAAAAGCTTATTATATTATTATAAATTATTCATACTCTTGATCTTTATATAGTAATACTATAAATAGTAATATTATTGCTGAAAATTCTTTTATAAACTTTCTATAATAACTTATTAAATCTAGAAATGAATAAAGTTTTGATATATTTGTTAATGCTGATCAATCTCTAATTATAATAATTTTTTTTAATCTACTAAAATACTATCTACTAATATGAAATATTCAAGATATTCTACATATTATTATATAATATCATATTTTTTCTACTTGATATATAATTTATATTTGCAAAGTATTTCTAACATAATCTAAAGATATTATATTTTTCTTGATTTTACTATATATTAAGATATTATCTAAGTATATGATTACAAATTTATCAAGATAATCATGAAATATATTATTCATTAGTATTATGAAGATTGTTAATATATTTATAAGTCCTAAAAATAGAATTAAGAACTTATAATATCTATAATGAATTCTAAATATAATTTTATAAATATCTTCTTTTGTAATATAGATTTGATAATATTCTGAATATAAATTTAGCTTTGAAAAATATTTTGATTCTGTAAGTCTATTCAT